TTTTTAATAATAATAAATTATGAAAATAACTAGCCTCTAAAATAAAATAAAATCCCACAACATATTAAAATTTAAACCTTCAACTTTTTGAATGCTAAATCTTTTCTCTATATATTAAATAATAACACAGGCACACAAAAAAAAATGCTCAGTCCCAGAGACCGGACCCAGTAGACTTTATGTTTTTGGGGTCGCTGAATCCGAAACCGTCGTCGGTTTTTCGCCATCAGATCGATTTAAGGTCATTTGAAGGTCATTCAAAGGTCAAATCATGTAAAATAGGTTTTAAAATCTGAAACTATTCCTACATAGGTTTTTGAGGATGCTGAATTCAAATCTAAAGTCAGATGAACTCTCAGACCTCACCTTCGAGGTCATTCGAAGTTCAAACATAATAAATTCGATATAAAAGTCCGAAAAACATATTTTTTATGTTTCAAGGGTCGGTGAATTTGAATCAAAGTTCATTTCCACTATACTGACTGATTTTAAGCTTATTTCAAGATTAAATCTAGTGAAAACGACAAAGTATCGAAAAAAGATTGTGTATAGGTTTTTTGAGCTAAGTAATTCAGCTTTTTGATTGAGTAACCTGTAAAAAGTTAAGATCAATGTCATTTCAAGGTTAAGGTAATGAAAAGAGGGCAAAACTTGATGAAATATTGTTAATTTCGTATGCCTTTTTACTTTTTTCATTTCTAACGCCCCTTTTTTTCTTCAAACGATTGGCCTAAAGGTTGCCGTCTGCGTTTAGTCCTTTATGTTCACTCTCTTTCTCTTCAACATCCAGCAGTAATCAGCCATCATTGCCACATCCCATCTACCTTGATATCGCTGCTCCATATGTTTGATGTCATGATGGAATCGTTCTCCCAGCTCGTCGCTAAAATCACCACAGTTTTTCGGGAACTCATCTGAATGGTTATGCAAGAAATGCAGTTTGTAAAACATATTACATTCCATTTCACCGAAATTGTTTATCATTGTTGATATTAAAACTTTGTAATCATCGCTTCTGCGATTACCTAGAAAATTTTCCACAACATTTTTGAAGCTGTGCCATGCAGCTTTCTGAACCTCAGTCATCTTAGTTGGAAAATTGTCATCTTTCAGCATTTTTCTTATTTCTGGTCCATCGAATATTCCTTCTTTTTATTTGGCATCAGATTTAAAGGAAAATTCAGATTCTAAATATTTGTAACCATTCATCGCTCTCACTCAAAGCTTTTACAAATTGTTCCATAATGTCCAATTTAATATGTAAAGGAGGTAGTAAAACTTTTCTAGGGTCTACTAACGAACTGTTAATAACATTATGATGTCCAGCTTCTAAAGAATTTCTCTCAGTCCACTTGTGGTCGGTGTAATGGTTTTTACGATCTCTGCTGTCCCACAAGCACTTGAAACATGGGTACTTTGTAAATCCAGATTGCTGTTCCATCAGCATACCAAAAACTTTCAAGCCCTTATTGCAATAATGTTGAAGGTCTAATGACAGAAATTAAATGTAATATTTATAAAACCTTTTTATTGATTCTTCGGAAAGGAGCTTAAAAGCTGTATTGTTGCATAATACTAATAAGTTTGCGTCTATTCCTATTGCTCACAGTACAACTATGAAAGAAACATATGGAAGTATGAAGATACTATTAGAGAGCATCAACTACCAAGAAAATAAATGGCTAATATGTGGGGACTTGAAAGTTTTAGGTATGCTGATGGGACAGCAATCTGGATTTACAAAGTACCCATGTTTCAAGTGCTTGTGGGATAGCAGAGATCGTAAAAACCATTACACCGACCATAAGTGGACTGAGAGAACTTCTTTAGAAGCTGGACATCATAATGTTATTAACTGTTCGTTAGTAGACCCTAGAAAAGTTTTACTACCTCCTTTACATATTAAATTGGGCATTATAAAACAATTTGTAAAAGCTTTGAGCGAGAGCGATGAATGTTACAAATATTTAGAATCTAAATTTTCCTATAAATCTGATGCCAAATTAAAAGAAGGAATATTCGATGGACCAGAAATAAGAAAAATACTGAAAGATGACAATTTTCCAACTAAGATGACTGAGGTTCAGAAAGCTGCATGGCATAGCTTAAAAATGTTGTGGAAAATTTTCTAGGTAATCGCAGAAGCGATGATTACAAAGTTTTAATATCATCAATGATAAACAATTTCGGTGGAATGAAATGTAATATGTATTACAAACTGCATTTCTTGCATAACCATTCAGATGAGTTCCCGAAAAACTGTGGTGATTTTAGCGACGAACAAGAAGAACGATTCCATCAAGATATTAAACATATGTAGCAGTGATATCAAGGTAGATGGGATGTTGCAATGATGGCTGATCACTGCTGGATGTTGAAGAGAAAGAGCCAACGTAGAGGAACTAAACGCAAACGGCAACCTTTACGCCGATCGTTTGAAGAAAAAAAGGTGCGTTATAAAAGAAAAAGGTAAACAGGCATGCAAAATTAACAATATTTTATCAAGTTTTGCCCTCTTTTCATTAATTCAATCTTGAAATAAGCTTAAAATTATTCAGTATAGTGGAAATGAACTTTGATTCAAATTCACCGACCCTTTGAAACATAAAAAATATGTTTTTCGGACTTTTATATCGAATTTATTATGTTTGAACTTCAAATGACCTCGAAGGTGAGGTCTGAGAGGTCATCTGACTTTAAATTTGAATTCAGCATCCTCAAAAACCCATATAGCAGTTTTTTTCCAATTTTTTAACCTGTTTTTTATGATTTGACCTACAAATGACCTCTAAATGACCTTTAGATGTCAACATAGAGTCAAAATGACCTTGAATTTGAATTCAGCGACTTTCAAAACATAAAAAAATATATTTTTCGGATTTTTATATCGCATTTTCTAAGTTTGACCTTCAAATGACCTTGAAAGTAAGGTCGTAGAGGTCACCTGACTTCAGATTTGAATTCAGCATCCTCAAAAACCTATATAGGAATAGTTTCAGATTTTAAAACCTATTTTACATGATTTGACCTTTGAATGACCTTCAAATGACCTTAAATCGATCTGATGGCGAAAAACCGACGACGGTTTCGGATTCAGCGACCCCAAAAACATAAAGTCTAGTGGGTCCGGTCTCTGGGACTGAGCATTTTTTTTTTGTGTGCCTGTGTAATTCATCAGCGAAAAATAGAATTTTCATTTGCTATAAATTCTAAATGAATTGATTTCAAAATTTTACCAAAATTTTATTAATTTAAATTAAAACAATTTATCAAAAAATACATTTACTCTAGAATATTTCACTACTTTCTGTATTTATTTAAGCTTTTGTTATTTGTTTATATTTTATTATTTGGCTCTATTTTAATTTATTTAACCTTAGCAATTTATTTAAATCAACTACTCACGCATTAGCGGCTATTCACGAAGGAAGAATTTGCCTGTCTAGCGAAGTTCGAAATTCTATCGGGTTGAGTGTCGCAGTTGTGTATTTAGCTTCTGCTACTCCACCGTTGTCGGTGACACCTTCATGCTACCGCACGATCTCGGTCAATGCTGCGATCGATAAGTGCTCAAGCGTGACGATCGATATGTCGACAGAGGTTGGTAAGGTAGGGACAATGAATCGGTAGTGGGCCTGGTGTCGGTATGGTAGTGATACTCCTTACCGATCACAGCCACACCTATAAAGTGGGATTGCCGGCGTGCGTGGCAAGTGTCGTGTCTATGAATATTATGCATTATTAATAAGTTTTTATGTTCCCTTGTCAGGGAGTTGGTTATATTGAAAGCTCCGTATAGAAGGAGAGGAATCCTTTAAAGTACGGCTGCTTTCAACCACTCTGCTGACACACTACTATATAATAATTTGTTAGTGTTAATAATGATGACTATAATTTAATTTAGTAATATATTTTAATAATAAAATTTATAACTTGATAATGCGTTTCAAAATTTTCTCTTTTTCGAAATATTTCTATTTTATTTATTAGTATGGCGCATCTCGCGTTTCACTTTATTAATTTAGTTTGCGTCTCGCAAAAATTGTTCTTTGAATTATTTCTCTTTTATTTTTCTACTATTTAAGGTGCGTCTCGCGGAAAACTTTTCTGAAAATATTTTATATTCGCGTATTCGGTTGTAGAAAATTTAATTTACTTCCTCTCTCGGCGCGACTAAATCAATCCTGATCGCGTGCAAAGGCCCCACGTTGGACGTCAATTATGTTATAACCTTAGAGGTCTATAAAAAGATGTTAAATGAGTGGCCTTAGCCACCCTTACGGCTAGCGCGAAGTCACTGGTTGAGGTAGCCGGGCCTCAGAGAAGGATTTGCATAAAGATAAATGTATATAGTGATTCCCGCTTATAATAAAATAATTCTTACCTTGATTGATCTTGTTGGCAAGTAAAATTTAGGGGCTTTGTTGCAACTTCATTACGTTTATCACGCGGGTAACCCGAGATCTTCGGAGCGCGCGAGCGAACGTCGAGCTGCTGCGTTCGCCGAAGCCAGCACCTCAAAATCCGCTCCCGCGACTTTATAAGTCTCTAAAATTTATGGGATATTACATTTGGTTTTACCGGGATCTGAGTGCAATCGACGAAGCCATGGCACACAATCCGATCATGATTAGATTGTTGCGGTCTAAACATAATTGTGAATTGGCTCTACAAGTTTACGAAGATTCACATAAAACCTATATACGACAAATGAAACAAACCGAAATTACTTGTAGTGGGTAAGGGCGTTGGGACATTTGCCTATTAATCCAACGTTGTAGCTGAAAACGAGAATGGGTCGCTCGCATGATGGCCACAAGAGAAGAGCCAGTCTCATCAGACTAATAAGATAGAGCTGGAAGTGAGTATCAAACTCACAAGATGGGTCTGGAAGCGAGAACCACACTCACGAGAAGGCTCATGAAGTGAAAACCACACTCGCTGGTTGGTGTCACACAGTGGGCTGGGGACATCATACCAGGAAGAGCTCGTACAGATAGATGGCCTCTCCCGGTGAAGTAATGCCTAACGGTCGTTCCGTGGGTAAAGAACAGGAGCAGCAGAAAGAGGAAGGTTTTAGTCGGTATTAATAGCGTACAATCAGTGCACTACTCAAGTCAGACGCATCTAATATCCATATGACGCATGTTGAATATTTACATGAATTTCCTTTCTCGACGAAAAAAAAGACACAAGTCACAAAGTCGATCTAGTTTATGAACATGTAGTCGAAAATTCTAAACACGACAATTGACAAAGTCTATTTTAGATCAATCACAAAAAGGAAGGGGCCAAACGAAAAAGCAAAACGATAAAAATATCATACATAGAATATAATAAATAATACTTTTTATAATTTTTATAGGGATCGTTAAATCTTGGATAACTCATGATAAATATCAAGGCAATTCATTGCGGACATTGCTTACAAGATTTATTGATATATCTAATCCTCCTAGTCCAAATTTATTAAAATACTTCGCATCAATAGCAACGTGTGAAAAAGAAAAATCTCGACTCAATCAATTGGCATCGGTAAGATCAATCGATACAATTAAAAATATGCTAGCAAATTTTATTATTTTACAGATGCATTCAGAGATTCACCGTTTTGTAAATTCAAGGGCTTATAGGGGCTTTAAGGGCTCAAAGGGGGCTTAAATAAATATATATTTCTATTTATTGTATTAAGCTGAAAAAGTGAAAAAAAATTTTTTTTCAGAAAACAGGCATAAGAGCCTTTTTCAATACCCCATTTGAAAGTACTTTGTCCAGTTAAATACTTACAAACACTTAAATTAACTTGTATCAGCCTATGAGCTCTCAGCGAAGAGCACTGAGGATATCTAAGCTGTTTGTCGTAAGATTCTAAGTGATGGCTTGACACGACTAAGTTCTAGGTCATTTCATTTTCTTCGATGGATCATTATCCATCAACGCAACCTCAAGCTAAGCATAAGATCAACTTTGACTACTTCCACATACAATTTAATAAAATATTTCATTCATTAATGATTATTTTTGATAAATTTTAACATAACATATCAAAGTATCTCAGGAAATTTTTATGGAATTTTTGAACTCCTTTTCAAACTTTGGTTTTTTGCACTTTTTCTCTAAAATGAGTTTCGAGTAAAAATGAGTTATGTTTTATATGAATATAAGTTATTTTTTGTATGAAGTAGTGGTTCAAAAATGTCATAAAAATTCCCCCATAAAAATTCATAATGGTGAAAAAAAATCAAAAACTTGATTTTTTGCAAAAAATTTTACGTTTTTTTTTCGTATAAGTAGCCATATCTTTTTTATTAAGCAAAGAATCGAAATTTTGAGTTAATTTTCTGAAAGGACATTAAATTTTACATCGAAATAGGTTCACACGAAACTTTTTGGAGGCCTCAAACCACAAAAAGAATCGCCGCGAAAACCAACAAAAAAATCAAGCAGTTTGGTCGTTAATGGGCTAAGAAGCTTTTTCAACATGTCAACTACTCCCTTGTAAGTTTTTATAATGGTTTGAGCCTCGGTTTGCCCTGGATACGCTAATATGTGTCGAAGAACGTGCAAAAATGGCCCCTAAAGCTGAGTATAGCCTTAGATTTTTAGCTGTATCTAGAAAACTTAGAGACTTTTTACATACACAAAATTAAAGGTAATTTTGTGCTCTTTAAGTTTATGCACTTACTTTTTCGGCTTAACTTTAAACTGAAAAACAAACAAAAATGTAGTGTTATCCCCGACTCAAGAGCTTACATGTTTCATAATGCAGCTTGAGTAAAAAAGTAATAAGCCCGATACAAAGTTTCATAGCCTTAAAGAGCACAAAATTACCTTTAATTTTGTGTATGTAAAAAGTCTCTAAGTCCTCCAGATACAGCTATTTGAAGTTTTACTGAACATTCAAGTATCATGTCAACTGGTGAATGAAAATGACAGATTTTATGCTTTAATTCTCAGTAAAACTTCAAACAGCTGTATTTTCGGTTCTAGAGGACTCAGAGACTTTTTATATATTCCAAATTAAAAGTAATTTTGTGCTCTTTAAGTTTATGTACTTATGTTTGAGGTTTGAGTTTGCCTAGCACGTGTAACATGTAAAAATCTAAGGCTATACTCTGCTTTAGGGGCCATTTTTGCACGTTTTTCGACATATATTAGCGTCTCCAGGGCAAACCAAGGCTCAAACCATTATAAAAACTGACGAAGGAGTAGTTGACATGTTGAGTAAGCTTCTTAAATAGTTATAGAAAAGTAAGTCCGGATCATACTTGATTATATTTTGTGTTTTTTGTCTTTTTTTTGGTCATTTTTATTGTAGAAGCCTCCTGAGTGCTCAGATCGCTTCAGGACCTATTTTTTCTGAAGATTTGGACAATTTTCAAAAAAAAAAGCTCCTGGGCACTTTTACTTTTGAGTCATTCTTCACTGAGCTACAGCTTAATGAAATATTTGCGATCTTTCATAAATTACGGAAAAATGCGAAAAAGGCCAACTTTGGAATTCTGAAAAAGGGTGATAGAAGGCTCCAATCGCTCTATAAATTTTTTCGTACATTCCTGACGTCCCAAACAATGGGTTCATCATATTAGATAAAGGAAAAAAATTTTTGAGTTGACAGAGAATCGGCCTTATGCTTGTAATCAACAACATTTTACATGGAACGTCTATGAAATAGTTTTTTAGTAATAGTTGTAACTCATTAAAAAATTTAAATTTTTATAATTTTAAGAAATTAATGAAAAGGAAAAGAAATTTCTGAAATCAATTTGTCTTCGATCAAGACTGTCTCACATTCAAGCATATTAGCACCTAATTTTCAGAAAAAAATGACGATTGTAATTTTTATAAAATGAAAAAGATTAATTATTTTAAATTTGAATATGGTAGAACCTCTTTAAAACGAACTTCTAAGAAAACGTTGAAATTAGAGTAGCTAAAGTTCAACTTATGTGTAGCTTGTGGTTGCGACCCATTCTATAACTGTATAATTGTACATTGTATTATTGCATATTAAATCATTGAGATTACTAAGTCTACGTGTAAATTTAAAATTTTTTAAAGGGAACTATATTTAAATTTATATTCTGGAGGTTTGTACTAAAGGGATCTACTGAATAAGTTTATGTTTATGGGCTATATCGCGTCAACTGTCCCCCCTCTTGGATCAGAGTTGTAATTTGATTATTCATATTTTATTCTGCTTTCCAAGGGTGAATATGAAAAAATAATTGAAACTTGATTTTCTTTGGAAAATTTGATGAGGAATTCAAATTTGATGTCAAAAATCATATTCATAAACTCCAAGTACCTTAATTTCTAAATTTCGGCCTCAGTGGCAAAAATAAACATGTTCGTATCCAGCGATATGGCCAATATTGTAATATGTTTATCGATACACCAAAATACAACTTCTGATAAATTTTGGTCATCGGCAGACAAACAGAATTCATTATTGAGCTTCATATGTGTCAATAAAACATGGTTTTTCTCTACATTTCCTCTATTCTTGCCTCATATCATGTTCAATAATGAAGTCTGTTTGTCTGCCGATGACCAAAATTTATCAGAAGTTGTATTTGGATTTAAAGAAGAAAATATTACAATATTGGCCATAACGCTGGATACGAACATGTTTATTTTTGGCTCTGAAGCTGATTTTTGGAAATTAAAATATTTGTAGGTTATGAATATAATTTTGGACATCAAATTTGAATTTTTCATCAAATTTTACATAAAAAATCATGTTTCAATAATTTTTTCATATTCACCTTTGGGAAGCAGAATAAAATATGAAAAATCAAAACAAAAAGAGGGGGGGGGGGCAGTTGACGTGATAAAGCCCCTATATATTTATTCAAGAATTTGATTTATGTTATACTTTTTTAAGGACTCATTCGTATATGAAGATTGGCGACATTGGAAATTTCCGAATTTATTAGAAGTTTTGGAAGAATTCCCTTCTGTTAAACCATATGCACCAGTATTATTACTTCATTTGACAACTTTGCAACCAAGATTTTACAGTATATCGTCATCACCGTTGAGTCATCAAAATCAAATTCATCTTACCGTTGCTGTTGTTCAATATGAAACACAAGGTATTTATATTTTTTTTTATACACCATGATTGGAAATTAGTTTAGCGCCCGAAACAGGCGTATAATCGGTGAATTATGGGACCAGGGAAAATTTTCAGAAAAATTATATGAGCAATATTAAGCGAAAAAAAAATTTATTAAAAATGCCGCGTTATTGCTTCAAAAAAACTATTGTAATCCTGGTTGCCATGGGGATCATGAAGACGCTCAACTACTACACGCGGTAAGTAATGTAAATAAACAAATAACGACAACACGTGTCTCGCTGTTGGTGACAGATGTAGGTTATGCAAGCAGCCGTATATGCTGCAATTAATGTTACGATCATCGACCTTCGTTAATAATGCTGGCCTATTCCTGCAACATGTGAGAAATTTATTATTTGTGTGTGATGATGACGAAAAAAATTCAAATCCAGTATACCGTTTTCGAGATAGCCGCTGTCATCACTACTGAACATCGTGCTAACTTTGACAAAAATCAAGCTTCAACTATAAAAATAAACTCATCCTCGAGTGCGCAATCGCTTCTAATTCATTGCGGCTTTTGTGGTTTTCATTACGTAAAGCCAACGCTTTTGAAACACAGCTAGTGCGCTTATCGCTGTGTCCTACGTACAGCTGACTGCGACTCTAGAGGATCACGAGAGCCTTAATGTCATGCTGCTTTTTGATTTTAGAGTCAAAAAGTCGAGTCTTATTGACCACGAATAGTGTGGATTGCTCTGACTCCAACGTACACTGCCCGTCATTACTTTTGCCATACTTGTGCGAAAAATGAGCAAACTTCAAAGTTTCGTAGCTCATTTTTATTAACAATTGAAGAATAAAAAATATTGCTTTTTTTGTCTCCGCTATTTCTCGTGCCATTTTAGTTAGAAGGGTCGAAGAAATATTTTAAACCTATGGATTTGTAGGCTTTAACAAGACCCATAAACTTTTCTTTTAAAGATTGTCCTTCGAGCTTTTTTCACAAATATACAGTTTTTAGTGCAAAAACGACCTTTTTTTTCGTTCGCATGTACACCGCGTTCAAAGGGCCGTAGAAAAAAATTTTACATACAAAAGAGGTTAGTTTTTATGTGTACAATAAGAAGCAATAGTTACAATCCGTTTCTGAGAAAATTTTTTTTCTCGATTTTTTATGCATGTTAACCCACCAACGCTCAAAGTGAAATTTTTTATGTTGCATTCTTTCACGCGCTCACCCCAGGCAGTTCTGTCTATTCCTCGGCCACAAAAATAGTGGGTTTTAAAGTTTCTAATAGAATGTGCCTTTAATTCTGATCCCCTCCAATAGTCTTGTTCCTCGATGGCCATCTGTCTCGCACACATGGCCTCGTGGTTCCTTCTTCGGAGTAAGGATGCCTTGTTTCCCCACTATGCATTCGAACTCCCTTGGGAGATCCTTGAATCGTGCCGGTGGCATTTCCTCCATGGTGTACCTGACCTCGCCTTTAGAGCGTTGGGACTTTTTTGCCTCGGCTATACCTTCCTCAGTGCAGTACCGAATGAAGATTGCCTGCATATCATGTTTTTTAGGGCCCACATGTACGAAGTCGAAGTGATCTATTGGGCCATATTCTACCAGAATTTTTATTGCGTCCTCTTTCGACATTTCGAGGGGTATCAGTATGTGTAGGCGTCTTGTATCCAGCTTGGCGCCGCGTTGTTTTCCACCTGGGGCTGTTTCCTTTTTTCTGGTTTCGGGTTTTGACGTGGCATCCGTCTGTTTCTGAGAGGTTTCTCCTTTCTTGTTTAGGAGGTAGACCAAGGTTTGTTGTTTCGTCTCGGTTGTCCTGTAGGTCAGGGTGACCGTAAGCTTATCCTACGGGTCTGTTAACCTGTGTGCCGATTAGACCTTTTTCTCCGGCTAGAATCCGGAGTAGGCCAAGGATTTGGCTTTCTTGCTCCGGTTTCGCCTTGTAGATTAGCACGAGCGTTTTCTCATCCAGTTGATCAAAAATATTGATTGGATTCATGGCTATTTTTTTTTCTGTTCAAACAAAAAAAAAATTTATATGGTTTGCGGCAATATAGTCATTAAACTAAAGTTATAAGAGCATTATCTACATTATTGACTGGCGTATTTTCAAATTCGCGTAACGCGTTACATGTTGCTACATGGAGGGAGTAGGTGTCCCATTCCACCTGGAACCCACAATCTTTATGAAAGGTCAGAACTGTTTGTCCCTGGTATTTGGTTTTCATATTTCTTTCCCGCGCAAATATGGCTTTCCACATTTTGTGAAAGTTTTTGTACGCGTTTTTTGCATGCCTCGGATTAAAATATTTAATGTAGGCAAAGGTGGGTTTATGTTTCCTATTATTAACAATATTATAATATTCTATAGCTCCGGTAAAATGCTCTAGCAAAATATATACAATATTTTCGATGGGTAGGTCTGCGGGGATAGTGCAAAATATTCTATCGGTAGTGTTTCTATTACTCTGCTCATTTCTGATTTGATAACCGTCAGGTACGATTAATTGGGTTATCGACGTAGCTGGTGGTGCAGCTGGTGTTGGGGGCTGACATCATTGGGGTGATCGGTGTAGCTGGTAATGCAGCCGGTATCGAGGTTCATAGGATTGGGACTGTCAGTGCTGCGGATGGGGCCTGTACTGTAGGTTCCGGTGTCGGTGTCCAGTAGGCATACGGGAAATAGTATATTTCCACGGTTTTGCTATAGTACTTCAGGAGTGTCGCAATTGGGGTCTCTTCGTTGATGGTAGAGCCCAATACTTTCCGTCCGTCCGTGGCCATGATGTTAAGTTCCTATAATGAGTTGCTCATTAGTTCTTTCAGATTTTGCGTTATCTTTCTTAAATAAGTACGTTCTGACCGGTTATTTCGCTCATTTCTTGTTCGTGTGGGCTTTCTTCCGTCGATTTTCTGTCTATCACTTAATTCAAGAGACCCAAATTTGACGCTTTGTTTAGTAGATTTTGCGATTTCGTAAAGATAGTGGTAGATGGTCGAAAAATTCTGAAAAAATTCAAGCAGATTCTTTGAAAAATTTAAAAACTTTTGATTGTCCCATTTTTTCGTTTCAGTACTTCTATTTCGATATAGAAAATAACAAAGATTTTTTTATAATGTGGAAAGTCCTCTACAAAATGGGCCCTAAGGCCCATTGGATCAAACTAAGCACAGGGAGCTTCAGTATTGGGTACCAAGAGACCGCAAAAAAATTTTGGAGCAAATCCATGACCCGCACCTGAAAAACTCTCCTTGTGAGTCTAATTTCTGCCGTAGGGGGTTTTTGGGGTCGCTGAAAATGAATATCACAACGAAAATGTACCACGATGTACCTGGGGCCCAGGGTGACTCTTGTATTGATTTGGCCCTGTTTTGTGCTTTATTTCCTTGTCTATTTCTATCTTTTCGGGTTTCATTATCGAATATAGCCATTACCCGTCATGACTAAGGTAGTGCGCCATTGTGTGTCCAAATTTGAGGTTACCATTATTAGACAATATTTCAAGTTAGTATTCGATGGATTGATGACCAAATTAATTTCGCACTGCTTACTGAGGTATGCCTCTTTTATAGATGATTGTATTGGACAGATATAATTAGAGTGCCCCTGCAAACACCTGTCCAAATTTTCAGTATCGTACATTATGTATTGGTTACGATTTTTACTTATGTAAGGAAGTGGACGCCAGTACAGAGTCCGGCGGTATTCCTTCCTTGTGTCCTAATCCTGACCCGCGTCGAGAGAGACGTATGAGTATCGCGAGCCGATGTAATCCGGATCGCGCCGTTCACCCGAGCGCCGAATTTGTAGCGAGAGACGCGCGACCCGTGCGTAAGATTCTCGTGCCTAATGAAGAGAGAGCAGACGAAAAGCTGTTATAGGAGGGAGGCCTGATCTGACTGACGGGCCTACGTGTGCGAGACGGCGGAATCACTCTGTGCTGGTCCGTGCGTAGCGACGCATATATTATAGCCTAGTTCTGCGTTGAGTGCGAGTGTGTGTCCGTGCGAGCTGCTCCTGGAGGAACTGTGTGACCTGGCTCTCCTCTCGTCGGCCCTAGCTTCTTTCGCAGTCACATTTGGCCTGAAGTATCCACGAACCAACATCGTCAGCGAATGTAAGTCGCCTATATCTCTCTCGCGTAATGCGCCATAACTATCTCTGTTCGTTACGCTCGATCTCTCTCGACATCGTCCCCACGTAGCCCAAACTCACGACCGCCGTGTCTGCCGCTCTAGCCGAGATGGCCTAATCGCGTGTGTACTTTGTAACGGAAGAAACGTATATGTCAATCGCGTGTTGAAGTCCCAATAACTGTAATCATCGATTTATTGAATGTAATAGATATAATCAGGCGTCACATTGGTGACTGGCGCATTTCTAATAATAAATTAAGCCTTTTTATGTTGTTGCCTTTTTACATGATCGAGTGAGTTATTTCGACACCCCGATTTTATTCCGTTTACAGCACCGCAAGATTTCGCCGGATCATTCGCTCGCATCCCGAGGGCGAACGGTTACACTTAATAGCAAAAGCGGATGTGTTGGGCGCATAAATGCTGCGCTGACAGTTACATTCTCCCGTGAGATTTGAGGTATTTCTAAAGGGTGTAATTAACATAAGGTGTAATGGTTTCTTTCGGTTGACGGTATATTAATAATTTTAATAGTACGTTTATCTATTGTTACGTGGGGGATAGGAGAGGATGAATAATAAATAATAAATGCTGGAGGAATTACTGGTTAAATGGCCAAAAAGGGGAAGAGAGAGTTCATGCATCGACTTCGAACTTTAAACGAGAACTGCCTGGGCTATCGGCATAGGTGGCTAATTGCCACCTGAGCCGGTCGCAAAGAAAGGAAGTCACGAGGCGCGAAGTCAGCAATAAGCATGCTGATGCTTCGCGGTTCCCCGTGACACGACTGAGGTTGCTACTAGTCGACCACGGCGAGTTAAAAAATTAAAATAAAAATAATTGAATCTCTCTCTTTTCCTTGTATATCTAAGCCTTATATT